ACATTAAAAATGGAACTGCCATTTACCCAGTAATCCTACTTCTGAGAATATATCCTAAGAAACCCGAAATACCAATCAGAAAAAATGTATGCACCCCTATGTCCATAGCAGAGTTATTTATAATAGCTAAGATGCGGAAACAGCCCAAGTGCCCATCAGTGATGAGTGGATAATTTTAAAATTTGCAAAAAAATATATAAGCCCATATCTGTTCTTTGAAATATCATCCTACCTTATGGAAATTTAATATGCAAATACAAAAAGTAGAATCAAATTACAAATCTACTTTTCTAGAAGATGCCATACATTTTCTGGAGGAGAACTTACAAATTGACATTATACAGAAAAAAATCCTTGAATATTCTGAAAATGTGTGCTATGTCTTGCTTTCTAATTGTTTCCATTTCACAAGCTTTGATAAAATATGTGTCTTTGCCAAATATGTGTCACTATGTATTTAGCTAATCAGTGAATACTTAATAATTCAATACTAAATTATTGCATTACTTTTCTCTGTTAATTTATTGCAGCAAAGATATATTGTTTTTTTTTCTATAAGTAAAACTTTCTAACCTTTCTATCACTTCTACCCCAGCATCTAAGATATGTTGAGGTGATGAGTGGTCAGTGATAATGAGAGGAGCAGGCAGGGTGGAGGGAGGAAATAGAACAGCAGAACAGGTGCTTAAAAAATTCAGGACAACAGCCTAGAGCCCAGCACCTGAGCTCTAAACTCATTCTAACACTGACTGATGAGGGCATCAGTTCAGTTCATTCATCTCTAAAATGAATGAGATGAATTTAGTTATTTCTAATACTCCCATGGCTTTGAAATATTGCACTACTTACTCTCTGTAAGGTAAGACCTTTTGTCCTTTCACTAGAAATGCCTAAATAAAAAAATAATAAGCTATCACTATTTTATTTACCCCCGATGTCACTGGCTCTAAGCATCATCTCCAGTTGCATCCTGGGAAGACCGCAAGCCCCAGAGATGCCTTAAAACTGGCATCTTCCACATCCCAGAGGGATCCTGGGCTGCCCACTCATTCACATCCCTGTAAGGGCTGCACTGCACGTTTCACCAATGAGGCCTGCACATGTCTACGTTGTAGAGCAGCCTGGCCGGCTTTTGACCTGACTTGGTTATTATGTGAATCAGTTTACTGACACTGCCAATAACATCACACATAACCGGACACGCGTCTGTCACTGAGCCACAGATAGTGCCCGGGAGCAGAAAGAATCCAGGACACACAGACTTAAAACATAAACAGCTCCAACAGAGTCGCTACCACAGGATCTGCAAGTAGAGATGCAAATGGCTTGTCTGAGGTGCCGTAGCCACATTTTAAGACTCTTCAATGGCTGGTGCCGTGGCCTCACTTTTAAAAGCCTCAGTCATTTCTCAAGGAATCACACTGAACAAAAGGCCACATCCAGTCCCCCCGCCCCCGCCCCCCACATCAAGATGTAGCCTAATATTACCGAATCTGTTTAGGGCATAGAAATCAAGCAGGCCTTCCAGAGGTTGGGGGAAAAAAGAGAAAAACAGCCTTTTAGCATGAGTAGGTCCCACTCTCATCTGAAGCTTGTACTGTCCTTTTCAATCGCTGCAGTGAAACAATTAATAAAGGAACCCATTAAGAGCTGATTATTGCTGCGAAAAAAGGAAGGTAGGGTTTCAGCCCTTTGAAGTAACTGAGAATGATTCAGGCCTCATTACAGAGATATAATCTACATTCATACATTTATGTTAGTGATTCAAATCTATTGGGAGAGATTGAATTCCGTTAAATAGAGCATCTCTCCTGCCGGACTTTTCTCAGGCTTTCTCTGGCTAACCCAAGAGGTGACCTAACAATGCCGGCAGCGGAGTATTTAGGGATTCGGCTGCGCTAGGAAAGAAAGGCTGTACAGAAAAGAAAAAGAAGAATGAGATATAATCTAAAAAGCTATGTCAGCTTTTCCTTTGGGCTGTTTTGTAAATGCCCTTCCTGTCATCGCGCTGCACAGAAAGGCGGAGAAAGGGCTCTAGAAGTTTTAAATAGCGCACCTGCTGGAAACAGCTTTTAATATGGAAGTTTTGAGGGCGTGTGTTTCCCCATTTCAGACAGAATAAAATAAGGAAACCTCTACCTTAAAGATCTGAATAGCTTGTTCCACTGGTGCAGAAATTGGTAGGGGGAGAGAGAGAGAGAGAGAGAGAGAGAGAGAGAGAGAGGCTCCCTTTGGGGTGGGGTGTTTCTTGTAAATAAATAAAATTAAAAAAAGAGATCTCAAGTGGCATCGATAATGTTGATGCCCAGTGTAGAGAAACCTCAGAATAATAACTTCTTGTGTTTTGTAACTTTTCACGACAGAATTTTTATTGTATGGTTTCATCAAACATAATGTTTTAGAAAACATGAAGTTTTAATTAGTTGTCAATTCAAACATTTGGATTCTGCGGAACAACTGGGCTGAGACTCCAGTCCCTTCGAAACACCACCCTCTCTCTCAGGCAATTGTCAGCTCAAGTACAAAACTGTGAACTAGAGAATTGAAATTAGCACTGAGTTCATTTTTAAATATCCGTGCTGTCCTGAAAGAACAAGATTTGTTTGACGTATGCTCTTTATTTGCCTAACCCCTCAATTAAAAGCTACTAAAATCAGAGCTAATTATATTAAATTTTAAAAATTAAAGTGTGGTGCTCACCATATTGTCAAAATCTTCTGAATGTGCATTGCAATGGGCTATAAATAATGCAATTAGCATCTCTGATTCTGGCATTCAGTGGTGCTCTTACAAAGGCTCCGAGTGCGCAGGGGAATATAAGGGCATGCATGTAAAGTCACTTTTCAGGTCGCTAAACAACATAATTGGCAATCATTCCCGATGCCCATCTCAGAAGCAAGATTTTTAACTTCTCTGCATCTTCTATTCACAATGAAGACTGAGGCCAACTCCGCCTTATAGGATTCAGGCTCATTTGTACAAACACAAGCTCTTCTGACTAGTTCCCTCTAAATCATAGTAGTAGAGGTCAAACTATCAAGTTCAGCTTGAAGTTATTCTTCTTCCAAGAATAGCGGTTTAAATATTAGGTGGAACCATACGAAGTTGCCAGTTTGGGGGGGGGGTGAAAACCCATAAAAAATTGGCAATTTCATGTTTCAACCTGATACAAATGTCCAACTGCTTTACAGAATAGGAATACATGCTACCTATATGTCTTTAGCCACTCCTTCCAGGCATACTGTCCATACTTTAAAGTAATCCTTAAAGCTGTGATCCCGTAGGAACTGTCTCTTACTCAGACTGGGACAGAGGATCACAGTATTTCTTTTTGTGACTGAATTCTTGGCCAAGACTTGCTAACTGAGGACTTGGTTAGGACTTTTCCCTGGGTTTCGTGCAAGTTTCTGTTAGCGATGAGGGAGTCGTGGGGCGGTGGGTGTGAGAAAGACAGAGACTGGTCGTGCAGTTGCATTGTAAAACAGAGCCCTTTAAACTTGAAGATAGAGACAAGAAAACGCCCCTTTATGGCAAAGTGCGGAGGAAATTGCATGGAAAAGAGCACAGCGGCGTCGTGGCCAACTTGTGTGGTTAAACCTGCGCCATCTCCATAAAGTGCGTTTGCTTTGAAGTGTAAGCGGGATTCAGCAATTACAGGTCCGTCGCTGGGGTCCCCGATTTCATTTGCGCCCAGAGAGGAGACTTTGAAGGGTGACGATAAATCTCCCTGAGCTTAAAAGGCGGAGAGGGCCAACGTGTGAACTCTTTACTTCGCCAACGGAAGGGAGAAATCAGAGCTTCATTAACGCGGGGACCTCCTTGGACGCTGGCAGAGAGGAGGACAGGAAGCTCATTAGGTCTCCCTTTCCCCTGCTCGCTGCGACCGACCCGTTTACAATCCGCTGCTGGTCCGGAGGGTTTGTCCTCAGCATCTTCTTTCTCCCCCAGCCCTCCCTCCTCCTGGGAGCCAGAGGGGGAGGGAAAAAGTCAGCCAAGCACCAGGCTCCAGGTGGCTCTCAAGTACTTCGCTGCCAAAAGGGGGGAAAAAAATCCTAGGCTGGAAAACAAGTGAGAAAGGGGCTCCCCGGAGGGGATTGGTTCAGGCTGGAAGGCAGCAACATTGGGAAAGCCGAGGGAGGACACGGCCGGGCTGGTGGCCCGCGCAGGGAGCGCAGGGGCGCCTTCGCTGCAATTAGCCCGAGCCGGAGGCGCAGCGGGCGGAGGCGGCACGGCCGGGGCGCGGGGAGAGGACCCGCAGCCCCCCAGACCCCCAGCCCGCGGAGGCAGCTGCTCCCTGCCCCTCGCGGCCGGCTCCCCACTCTCGGCCCCCTCCCTCCGCCCTCTCGCTGGCGTTCCCAGCAGCCCGGGGTTTCAGATGTCCCACCGCCGCTTGACCCCCTCCCCCTGCCTCTCCACCCTGCAAATGAGGTTTGACCAGCAGAGGCAGAGCCCACCTCTGGCTCAGAATCCCTGACATTTCGACTCGGCTTCAACCTGTTTACAAGCAGGCTTTGCAGAGGAGGGGGGAGGGCCACGGGGCTCAACAAAACACCACCGCCGTCCCCCCGAACAAGAAGCGACTTTCTGCGGGCTTCCCATCCACCGGCGCCGCCAAAAAGAGAAAGCGAGAGGGAGAAGCACGGGCGGCGAGGCGAGCGGCGCCGGCCTCCAGCGCTGACACCCGGAGGCGCGCGCGGTGCTGCCGTCTAGGGGCTGGGCTCCGCGGACAGGGGCCCGAGGGCGCGTCCCGGGGCGCGCAGGCTCTCCCCAGCCTCCCCCCTTGGCCCCGTGGGTTTTGTTCACCGGCTGTCATCTGTTTTTTTTAGACTGTTGTTTTTTTTTCCATCTAACATGGTGAAGCAAGGAGTGAAGAAGAGAACAAAGTAACTCCTGGGGGAGTGAAGGTCGCTGGGGACCAAGAGCACCCGCGCTCCTGCGGCCACCCACGGCCACCCTTCCCCCGGGGACGTCAGGGGCGCACGGCGGCGGCGGAGCCCGAGGGGACCGGGACGGGGGCGAGGAGAGGCGGCGGCCCTTGCGAGGAGTTATGGATGGTGGTGCATTCAGTTCTGGCCAGATCCGCTCCCGGAGGAAGCAGCTAAGCGGCGGCCGCCACCTCCAGCTGTCTCCCTGCCTCGCACCGGGTCTCACCCTTCCAGCATGTTCCTTCTGATAAGCCCATTCCCAGCGCCGCGAGTTCCAGTACAATGTGGAAATGGGAACTGACACATGGTGCCTCCGCCTCGCCCCACCTGCCCGGCTGCTGCTGCTGCTGCTTCCTGCTGCTCTTCTTGGTGTCTTCCGTCCCCGCCACCTGCCAAGCCCTTGGGCAGGACATGGTGCCACCAGAGGCCACCAACTCGTCTTCTTCATCCTCCTCCTTCTCCTCCTCTTCCTCCTCCTCCTCCTCCTCGTCCTCCTCCTTCTCCTCTCCTCCCAGTGCGGGGAGGCATGTGCGGAGCTACAACCACCTCCAAGGCGATGTCCGCTGGAGAAAGCTCTTCTCCTTCACCAAGTACTTTCTCAAGATCGAGAAGAACGGGAAGGTCAGCGGGACCAAGAAGGAGAACTGCCCCTACAGTAAGTAACCAGGCGCGCTGTCTCCCTCCGTCACCCACCCCCACCCGCGGGGGGAAATCTGTTCCAGATGTGGCCAGCTAAATATTTACGTCCCCAACCCCTGTAAAATGATTAAGTGGGATACTTTCACACTAAATCACCCCCCCCCCCCGCCCCGTGTATACATTGTGCTGCCTCACCCCTCCTCGCGGGGATCCCTCCACACACACCCCCACGCCTGGTCACCCTCCACGCCCTGTCTCTGGGCTCGTCACCCGGTGGACACCCGAGAGTTGTTGCTGTGCACGGATGCCCCTCTCTGTCTCCATCGCCCTGCCCTACCTCACCCCAAGGTCCCCTTTCCCTCCCTGCTGGAAATGGCTCAAGTAAACACTGTGTTTCTTTTCGCTGGCAATCTTAGGAAGAGTTTTGGGACAGTTTCCTCAAGCTGAAAAGAATTAGCTGCTGTCAATTATCCGGGTTTTATGGAAATTTTATTTAAGAAAGAAAAGTCCATTCCCCTTGCTCCCACCCCCAGCCCGTTACCCCACCACCTCTCTAGATAGGAGCGATAGCATTTTTCTGGCTTTGATTTTTTTTTGGGGGGGGGGGGACGGGGGGAGCGGGGGTGTCGCCCATGTTGCCTTGAGTGATTGCAGTCCATGAAGTTGGCTTTTCCGGCACTACCGCTATTAGTCCCGGGCCTGCCTTCTCTCCGGGTAACATGATGCTCATGTCTGCGTTGTCAATAGCATATGCGCTGCTTTGTGGTGTCCTGTTGTACTGTTTCTTCTGAAACCTCTCATATTGCAGAGCCCGACTACTACAGCGTTGCGAACATCTGGGGCTGGATTCGCACAGACCTCACACAAATTCCATTGTCATCCTTCTATTTTCAAAGTAAAAGTCATAAGTCCGTTTCCATGGCTGTCGTTTATCCCCTTAGCTAGGATGAGGTTTTTCTCCTTAGTGCACATTATGCCCTGGATGTCTGGATTTCTCTTCCTCCCCCCCCCCCCTTTCTTTCTTTCCTCCCTTAGCTCTTGTTCTTTCTTTCTTGCAGGGGTGTGGGCTGGGAGGGGGCGGGAGAAGGAGAAGAGGAGAGTGGATATTGTGTCTCTTCTTGAATCAGTCCAGCAAAGCAGATTACTCTGTTGGCTTCCTTTCCTAGTTACTTTCAAGTGGTGAGACTTATTCATCCTCTATTGATGGCCTTTTGAAAGGATCCTTAGGCTATGTAATGGCACACTGAAGATAGTAGACAAAGACATTTGAACATCTTTAATGACCATTTAGCATTATCTCAATGGTACTCTCAAGTCACCTTTTTAAAGGGACCTTTTTGTGTCAGTTGTTCCGGAATTTGAAACATTATTTGCCAGCTAACTTAAATTCATGGGTCATACATTTCAAGATTCCTTGGCCCAGAAAGTATCTGGTAGGAATGGGAAAGATAGCCAGAACTTAGCATTTTCTTTTTAAACAAAGATTGACAAGAATGAAGACTTAGTTTTCTTGTTTGGGGACTCACATACATTCAACATTAACTTCTATTCCTCCTCAGCTGCTGCTTCCATTTACTAAAATTAGCAATATGTTTACAAGTAATGATATTTGTAGAAGGATTCTTAAGTGTTCCATTTTATGTTTAATACTAGAGATGCTAAAAGCCCTTTGCCTATATATTTTTTCATTCTGATTTATAGAGAGCAGGTGGAATAATGTCACTTATGATAGAAGATTTTTTTTCAATTGTTACCTGAATTAACTAGAAACTATATATACATGTTTTAGTTGATGAAAATTTAATTCCTTTGTTGACTTCTAAAACAATAGTTGTGCTGTCATCTAGGTAGGACCAGGGGGAAGAAGTGGTCCAAACAGTTACTGAGGAGTGAGCTGAGAAGTTAAAATAAACAATATTCATGGCCTGAAATTCCTCTTCATATTGTTACTTCAGGAAGATAACTCAAAGAAATATCAGACAATTTTAGGTGCTACCCTTGAGCAAACTTTCTTCTTCTTCTTCTTCCTCCTCTTCTTCTTCTTCTTCTTCTTCTTCTTCTTCTTCTTCTTCTTCTTCTTCTTCTTCTTCTTCTTCTTTTTCTTCTTCTTCTTCTTCTTCTTCTTCTTCTTCTTCTTCTTCTTCTTCTTCTTCTTCTGACACTAACTTGATT